CAAAGTGAAATGCTCCCCTATTTCCAAGAACCCAATGTGGAATCTGCATGTTTAGTGCAATACGGTATCTTTATTCCTTGTCTTTAATATACTGATGTCATGTGGAAGTGTCTTTTAGAACACTGTGCTTCTGTCTCTGTGCAGGCAAGGTTGCATTCTCATTTGATTTTAGCATGGGGAAGATGTCCTGTAAGTTTTGAAGCTAACGCTCACTTGTGTCCAGTATCCAGTTGCTACATTAGGAAAGAAATCATGTCTTCTAATAAAACCTGACAGTCTGTGGTGAAGGCATATTAAAGTACTACCCTGTCTTATCCTGATCTGATGAACACTTGCTTGTTATGTCATCCTGTGACTCATTGAACATTGAGCCAGGCTGATAACATAAAGGCAGTGCCCCAATAATTCAGCTCTGAACTGCCCAGATGCTGATACCTGCTTCTCTTCTGTCTGATGAGAGACTGGCTAGTGCCATTAGGGACTGAAGAAGGCAGGGAGGTATGCTGATGAGAGTAGAGGAAACTTCCAAATCCAGTATTTAAGGCATCAAAGCTGCTTGTTAATTCAGTCACAGTTTTAGAGATGCTGATTCCAGCCTGAAAGCTCTTAGTGAGTGCAGTGTAGATGGCTGCTTTGGGATTAGCCAGCCTCATTATATCCCACTTTTCTTGCCATGTTACCAAAGGTTAAAATTCCTCCTTAGAGACAGAGAGGAAGCCAAGCTCTGCAGATACACGAGATACGTATTGCCATGTTTTTGCACTGAAATAAAGGAATGTATCACACGTTGCTACGCAGTCCTTCCCCCACAGTCACCTCGTGTCAGTGGGATGCTGTCGACGATGACTGCATGAGGCTGCTCTCCTCTGGTTCTTTGGCTCCACACGTTCAGTAAGGTTCATGGAACATACCTCAATTTGGTGGGGCATGAAATCAAAGCCATTTATGAGATCTTAGTCAGTGTAGCTTCCTAAACTTGACCAGACACGCTGCTGAGGGCTAGCAGCTTGTACCCAAAGTGTATTTGCAGGGAAAGAGGGTGCTTCACATTCTTTCAGGCCCAAAGGTGAAGGTACTGTAGTCCTTAGTGCATACTTGCAGCAGTCGGAGTATTTTAGTCACTCCACTCTGGTTTCTTTTCCTTTGGCAGTGCTGTTGTGTTGTGATGACATTGTGAGTCCCAGTGCTTATTATTCCTTCTCATTTTGTGTATGATCTTATGAATTTACTTGTTCCTTTCTTTCCTCTGCTAGTCTTAGTGACAGCAGCACACTTTAACTTATATTTCAGAGTAAATGATATAAACTTTACTGTGTCTTTGTCCAGAACTATATTGATGAATAAATATTTGATTTAATTGCACACTCAATGGATTCAATAAAAAGCACAACTACTCGTGATGATGTGGGAGCCATCTGTGTCTCTGGTGCTGGTCAGAGGTGTATGGAGTGCTGGTGTATGACGTGAGGATTGCAAAGCCCTTCCCAGGCATAGCCAGGGGGATGCTCAGTTTGGACCTGAACACGGATGGATCGAGTACAGCCCCAGCCTGCACAGCTCGACCACAGGAGCTGGCTGAGAAACCTCTGGTCCAACCCACTCTGGAGTGTTCTGTACCTGGCGGTGCTGAGGAAGCCCCCGAGAAGGACGTGTGTGTGTGTGTGTTTGTGTGTGTGTGTGTGTGTGTGTGTGTGTGTGTAAGGTAGGTGCATCACACTTGGAGAAGCCGTGGTGGAAAACCAGGACAAACTTTCCAACCTCTTTCTGACATCTCCATCCAAGATGTTTCCTGCAGGTGGCAGAAGACTCCTGGCAGCACCTTCCCACCACATTTTCTCTACAACTCCCTGCCTGGGCAGGAGTGTTTTACAGTGAGAACTATATTGCTTTAAACAGTGAGGGCCAAACTGTTCATCCCCTTCCTTACCCTGTTGCTGCTTTTTCCTGAACCTTCCAGCAATGTAACTGTAAAATTAAGTTGTTAACTGAAGACAAATACAAAAGTGTTGGGATAGGTTTTGGAGTGTGGTGGAGAGAGGTTTGGGCTGATGGGCAGACACACAGACAGCTGGTAAGCTCATACCCTCCATGGGGCAGGACTTCCCGGCTCTCTGGGTTGTGAGCAGCACATCCGTGGTGCTCCTGTGACTTGGAAGGGTCACTGCTGCCCTGGGGGAGGAGAGCAGCTGCCTGCGACCTGGGCAGCCGGACAGCTGGGGGTGTTCCTGCACAAGCAGCACGATGTTGGAAGCAACATTCTGCAAGAAGGCAGATGTAATTGTTTTGTGTGTAAATTAGAGATCGGTGTAAGGATATAGAATTTATTTTTTGTTGCCCTTCAGGTAGGTGTATTTGAGGCCAGAGCTGTGGAAAATTGTGTGCATTTAAGAGAGTCAACGTATGGGAGACGCTGCAGAGAGGCTTCACAAAATTATTCATGGACAGGAGATGGTTTTATATGAGAGAATTTGTCTCTCAGTCTGTCCAAACCATCCAGAGGTGATCCTGTGACCCCCTGCAAGTACATTGGTGGGGGGAGAATATGAAGTCTAAAGCTTGTTTTAATACAGTAATCTCACGTGTGCACACTGTGAGATAGCATTCTATAAATAAAAATCTCAGCATTCAGCTGTAAAAACTCCAATATTTGCTACATTTTACCACCGTCATCTTGCCTTCGTATGGCTGTCACTGTGCATAAGTAGCTGGATGACGAAGCACCGCTCCTGTAGGTGTCATTCAGCAGGACTTAAGGGACCTTCAGAGGCAAACCACACAAGTTGCAAGTGCATATTTTTGGTTTTTTACCTTCTCTTTAATGATGTACCACAAAAAAATGCAAGTTGAAATATATTTTTCTCCAAATATATATATTTATATAATATATAATCTTAGTTAACTCAAGTATATACATTGTATAATAAATAATGCTTATAAAAAGAGAAATTTTCTGAATATAAAATAAAAAAAAATCGACCTCTACAACTTTATACAAAACTTTGGATAAAGCAGATTGATGGAAAAAGATCTTCCATTCAGTGCTAGAATACCTGGCTACAGTAAAATAATTACAAGGCAATAAATGTTCTATTTAATATTAAATACCTTTTCTTGATTAAAAAAACAAACAAACAAAAAGGGATTTTGTTTAAAGTCAGGTACTTGGAGTCTTTCCAGACACAGGATTTAATATATACTTTTAAATAGAATGCATATCAGAAGACGGCTTATTTCTGAATCTGGGAGGTTTCTTAGAGCTCTCCTGTGATCTTTAATTTTAGAAAGCTGATGCTGCTCAGTCTGCGTGAACCCAGGAACTCTTCATTGTGCTCTGCAGAGGAGGGACTGAGAATTTTGCTCTGATTCTCTCCAGCCACAGGTTTGAGTGACAGAGCCGTGCTCTGCTCTCCATATGAGGGGTCTTTCACCCATTTTATTGCTCTTTACAGTACCGTGTACTGCTCTTTCCCATGGACAAAGAAGTGAGTGGAGTAGAAGACACTGCTTTAATGGTTTAGACATATTTCTATGTTAAATCACTGATGCATGAGGTGGTATTGGAACATGGTTATTAGTCCTCATCATCTGTGGAGGAGCCCACCAGGACAGAGATAATTTTTATTTTTTTAATTTCAAGGGTTAATATGCCATGAAAGCCCAAAATGAGGGAGCATGTGGTCGAGGATGGGGATGTGGCCAGGGGAGCAGGTGGAGGGATGAATGCTGAGTCTTCTGCACTGAGGTGGCTCATGGGGTGTGTGTGCTCACACGTGGGACCCAAAGCCCTGCTGATGGTGTGGAGCCTCTGTGCTTGATGTGGACCCCCCAGGAACAAATTGCTGATAACTCAAGAGATCCTGTGGGAAGGAAAGGGTCTGCCTGGCATTGAGCTGTCAGATAAAGGTCTCCCTTCCCCATCTGCCCATGCCTCTCTTTGCTGGATGGAGTGGTTTGAACAAGTCTGTCTGATGGTGGAAGGCTGATGAGAAAGCTTGGACAGAAATTTCTTCTTGCTGTGGCTCCTGTCTCCCCGTCCATTGCTGATGCTCAGGGCAGCTCGCCTGGCGGGTACCCTCTTCCCAGAGAGATGCTCTGAGCTCGTTCTGGGATAGAAAGGTCTATTAGGGAATGCTTAGTAAAGAGGTGCATCAACTGGGTGGATCAGCCCAGAACCTCAAAAATCTTCCACGGGCAGCTGCAGGGCGAGGAGACTGCTGGAGCAGCGATGGGTCTCCATGTAAGAGGGGGCAGCCTCACCGTGTGACCCTGGGCCAAACGCCAGAGGATCAGCTCTGGGCTCTGATTTCCTGCTGTCTTCCTCAGGGGGATTAGGGGAGTTGACCTGGGGCTGTGGGGAGTAGAGAGGGAAAAAGGGAGGTGACAGACCAGCTGTAAGGCTCCGTTCATGTCCCCGAACAGGTTTGTTTTCCAACATCATCTCGGAGCAGGAAGGAAGGAGCCTGGCTGATGTGGGCAGTTGGCTCCTTTCCTCCTCCTCACATCTGCGGAGACCAGGATGGCCATGCCAGCAGGCAGGGGAGCCTGTATTTGCTCAGCTTTCGCTGTGTAAAATTAATTTCCACCTGAAACCCCTGTATTGGCATCTACACAGGCCAGACCTCCAGAGGAGGCTGGAGCTGGAAGCTCTGTGCATGCTGTGCTGGCAGCACACTGACTGGTGTGACTGTGCTGTGCTTGGGCCTCTGCTGCCCCTGCGTCTCCCCAGGCAGTCTGTCAGCCCAACAGCCAGGGGGGGCGTCAGCAGATCAGTGATCTGGTGTGTCTGCAGCGCCAGGTCCACCCTCGCACCGCCCTGTGTGGGTGAGATGCGAGAGCCTTCCCTGGCAGCGTGAGGGTGTCTGCCCTGACCGAGGGCATTAGGATGGTTTTATGCCATCCTCTGGAGTGTGAGGCCACCGTGTGGGGGCTGATCACAGGGTTGATGGACCCCTCGGCCCTGCTCCGCAGCAACCTCCCATCCATCGGAGACCTACCTACGTTTACTTGCAGGTGTGGACGTCGTAGACGCGTATGCACTCTTGGCAGCTGACGTAGCAGCACCAGTGGAAGATGCAGTGACACTTCTCCTTCCGTTTCTCAGTCCTGGTGTTGTGGCCACGACCGCAGCACAGCAGGTCGCAGCCATCGATCCCGTGGGAGGTGACGTTGCATGTTCTGTCCCTTGTCCCAAAGGAGCCTGTCTCTGGGTTGGGCTCACAGAAATTGGGGGAGTTCTCATAGTAGACCAGATCCCGTTCTGTTGGCGGCTTGAAAAGAGCATACTTGGCCCTGAGAGTTTCTACCCATCCCCGAGATTCTCGGTGCTTTTCAACCACCATCTCAGAGGCGCTGTCGTATTTGTCCTTCAGGTAGTCACCAATTGCCCGGAAGTCAGGCTGGGCCCACCAGCAGGTCTTGACCTCGCAGCTTCCCGAGAGACCGTGGCACTTGCACTTCAGGTGCATGTGATCCAGGATGGTCTGTCCAGGGGAGAGAAAACAAGGCAGTCAGCAGCAGTTTATGATGCTCAGCGTTTGCTTTCAATCACCTGCCTTGGTTACCTGGATTTAAATGTCTGATCTGAGCTTGGTCTGGGAAGCGTAGGCTAGTAGTAAATGCATTGAGCTTTGGTGTGTGGCAGAAACTTCTTTGCAGAGTTGCTGCACTAGCAAAGCATGACTGTGATGGGCAGCTGCTCTAATCATCAATCCAATCCCAAGGTCTGATCCTTTCAGTGGGGTCATTCCTGTCATGTGTGTGGGGACAATCAGAGCCCAGGGAAGTTGAGGGTTGGAGGATGCCTCTGGCACACATGGATGTAGACTGATCCCCTTGTCCTAGCTTTGCTAACAACCCTTCATTTTATGCCCTGACTCTGAGAGTTTGTACTAAAAAGTAAATTAAATTGTGAATCTAAGGACATGATGCTCTATCTTCCCCAGAAACCTTCTCTGTGTGGAGCAAAATAATCACTGATTTTTGTTAAAGTTGCTAGAGGTTGTGGGGGTTTTTTTTACAGGAAGCTGTCAATCGTTAACACGAGTTAGAGATTCAAGCCCCTACCCTTCCACCTCTGCCTGCTGTGGTATGGAAAAGCAATATCTGGTGTTTGCTTCAAGCGCTGCTTGAAAGGTCTTGCAGTAACACGTTAAAGTGTGCTGGGTTTGCAAATGACCTAGAGCAGGCAGTGGCCCAGGTGACTGCTGACAGCAAGAATAGAATATTTCAGATGGAAGGGACTGACAGTCACCATCTAGTCCAACAAATCACTTGGGTGGGACAGGGTTACAACGGGGGGCATGCAGGAAGGAGTAGCTTGGGAGGAAACTCCTCTTCATTGTTGACCTGGGGTCTTGGGTGGTTGAGTTGCCTTTCTACGTGCTGCCTCAGGAGATGTTTTCACTGGAAGCTAGGCATGTTTTAGCTCTTCTTAACCCCCACCCATCTGTTTGGACAGAGTGGAAATGCTGTGCCCTGGGAAATAAACCTAGAATGCTCCTCCCCAGGCATTACAGTGGTGCCATTTCATCAGAGGGAGCCAGGTTGGGCCATCCATGCGGGCGGCCAGCTTTGGACCCGCTGAGCACTCACCGTCCTGCCAGCCTCGTTGTTGTGTCTGTTCATGGCTGAGCGGGCATCCGGACGGTTCTCTCGGGCGTCTGCAAATTCACGGGACACCAGCACGCCAAAATCGGCATCCTCGCTGCACCCTCCCCATTTCCAGCCATCTCCTGGAGGCCCTTTGTGGTGGGAGTCACAGCCGCAGATCGTGGACGTGCCCTCGGCACAGGAGCGGGTTACAGCAAAGGCCACTCCTGCCGATGCGATGGCGTGGACAAAGGCAGACTCTCGCGTGGCTGGGAACAGACAGAGTCCGTGGGATTATCAGTCAGCATAATGCTTTTGTTTTCCTTTCCAACCTCCTCCAGCATCACCTAAATCTCATTAAATGCAAAAAGTTATTTTATTAATCTTTTAACAAACATTTTCTGAATCAGGTGCTGCTGGCATCACCCTTTGAAACATGCAGGTGGGAGCAGGCAGGAGAGAGTGTGGCTCTAGCTCTGTGTACCGCAAGTGCAGCGTTTCCCCCAAGTGCAGTGGGTGCAGGATTTGATCCAGCATGGTGCCAGTGGGTGCACAAAATGTCATAAGAGCTTGAGGGTCCTCAGAAGTGAGTTACTGGAGTAATTCCTGGTCTGGAGACCCATAGAGGGACTCCACGCCTGGAGTTAGTCCAAGGGATGATGAATAATCTCATATACATGCTGAAATGGGGAAAGGCCTCGCATGGTACAGGACAAACAACGGCAGATCAAACCCTAAGAGCTAGTAATTACTGTTAAATGTGTCTAGACTAAACAGCATGGGACTTTACAGCAATGGAATAAAAACAGCTGAAGGTGTGAAGATAACCTTAAAGTTGCTCATTAATTACTGAACAATCCTGGAAGAAATCAAACCAGACAAAACTCAAGCCTCTGCTTTGGCTGTGACTATTGGCATGCTCCAGGTACCAGCTGTAGTGAATGAATTCTGGCAGGCCCAAAGGAGCGAAGATGGAGAAAGTCCTGAAAGCACTGAATGATGAAGAAATAAATTGCCCAGGATGCCTAGGTTAGCTGAGAGCTGGGAACTGGAACGTGTGTGGATCCTTTGTGCTAAGAAAGTATGTTTCAGCAGAACAAAGATACCCAGGGAGGAGGTGGGGACAAACCAGAAAATCCACATGAAGATGAAGGTGAAATGGATTTGCTGAACTGGAGCATCTCTGTCCATCACCTCTTCCACCTGTGGCCATGGCAGGGTGACTTTCAAGCTCACCCCCTTCCCTGGTCATTCTGTGGGGCCCTGACCTGGACTTTGGACAGCAGCAGCCAAAATGCACATGGGTCCAGGGAAGCCACCAGGAGCGATAAAGATGTTTACATTGGCTGGATGTTATAGTCAGCTGGGTCTGAGAAAGACAACGAGGCCAAGCAGGATGGGTGGGAAACCAGACGAGAACTGCATGCTCTGTGCCTGGAGCCTCCAAACTCACCTCAGGTGTCTGAAGCCAGGGAGCTGCTGTTCTTCATCATGACCCAAAACCTCTCTAGCAGCCCTGCACGCTGTGGTACCCTCTGCCCTTCCCTGCTCAGTGGTGGCTGCCGTAAACACAAAGAACATCTTACTCGGGGGTGTTGTTCTGGACAGAACTGGCCAAAGCCCAGTGCGGCAGCATGGGCAGCACACCCAAAGCACCAGCTGGTGTGGACCATCAGGACAGATTCTCTTGGCTGGCTACTACCAGAGGAAACTTCAGAGATATTAGAAGTACCAAATAACGGTACTGTAAGAGAACCTAGAAGACCTTGACCTAGCTGTAGAGGATGCAAAAGGAGATGACCTTGTCCACTTGATGTGGTGGCATTTTCCTACTGTGAGGTCTGTGAGTTTAATGTCGTGTCTTACACTCTCTCTGTAAGCGGACAATACGCTGTCGAATTGAAGGGGTATTTCCTTCATATATCTTGGTGTGTTAACTCTTCAGGAGGCCGTTGAAGCAGCTGTGATGTGCTCTGAACTGAGCTGGTCTTTCTCTGGTGCTCTCACTGATGACTCTGCTGCTGGTTTGAAAGCAGGACAATGGCTAAGTTAGAATTCTCAGTCCAGATTAAAGCCCAGCCGATTTATATCCTTTGTTCCTGTGTTCCCATTCACTTTCATCTCCAAGTAGCTTTTAATGGCCCTTGTATTTACTTCATGGTGCTTGCAGAGAGCAAAATTTCCATTTTACTGTGCTCAAAGAGTCCAATTTGTTAGGTCTTTCCATAAAATGTTGTCATTACACTCACCAGCCTGGCTGCCCATCTCTGCATCTGTTCCTGGGTTTGATTCTCCAGAAAGGTGAACAGAAAGCAGTGTTCCCTTCCAGCTGAGGACTGACTGGCACTGAAGGCGAGCAAGTCCTACCACAGCTCAGAACAGCTCTGAGGTCTCTCCTGCATTAGGACACAGCCTGGCAAGTCCTCTGCCCAGCAGACTGACAGAAGCTTTGGACCCTGGACTTGAAGTCTGGGTTCTTGCAGTAGTGACTTGACTCTTCAGCTACAGAGCTCTACTCAAGATATTTTTTAAGCTTTTTCTATTTTTTTATTTGTTTGGGTTTTTTTTGTTTTTCTGTGTGTTTTGGTTTTGTTTTTTTAAATTATTTTTTTATAAAGCAGATGGTGTTGTACTATTTCTACTCATTTTGTAACCAGTTTGACCGTTGACTTCAATAAGGCTGTACTAAACACAGGCTTTCCCAAGCACAGTCGAAATAATATCTGTCTCAGCTTTCTCCTTGGGGTCATCTTTTGATTCAGAGCCTCTCTGGCATGCCACAGTCTGCCTAAGTATACCACCCAGGTGAATAACACTGGGGTGCTTTAACCCTACGTGCCATCTTACAAAGATGGAGACTTTAGGTCTCTCAATTCAGAGGAGATGTTGGAGTCAGCCCAACCTGACGCCCAAAGCTCAGGAGAGCAGGGAGGTGCTGAGCTCAGGGGTCAGGGCCCGTGGTGTCTGGGGAACTGTTGCTGGTGGTTGGAGCCCCTGGGTGTACTGGAGAGGTTTCTCCAGATGACTTGTGGGTATAGCTTGACCAAATGATCAGGACAGTTGTTAGTGGATGTGGGATGGAGCCAGAATTTTCTGCTGGCTCAGACCAATGATGACCTTGGAGACCATCCCCTCCTTCCAGAGCAGGAGCCATGAACCATCTTCTCAGCTGCCCCATGCATCCCTCAGCCATTCTTGTGCCCTGGGGAAGTCTTCGCTGCACCAGGTCTCGCTCCTTGGCCTGCAGGCTTCTCTGTGGAGGTGGGGTCTGGCTTCCAAAAATCAGGCATCTCAAACTGAGCTACTTTCACCCTGTGCTGGCAATCGAAAGAGGCAGCTCGTGGGTATGTGCCAGCTGCGGAAACGCACAGCTCTCCTCTGCTGAAGTGTGGTTAACTCGGATCTAGATGCCAAATATGATCGTAAACCAGGGCTGTTCAATCCTGCCTTTGCTGGTGGAACCACGCTGTGGTTTTCACTTTCTTTTAATTCAAACTCTTCCCTCCTTGCCCTTCCTACCTCTGATATACCAGCAGAGATCCCGCCTCTACCTACCGAGGTTTTCCTTAGATATCTTTCACCAACCGCTTATACTGGGACCACTGGGGTCTACGGGCCACCGGTTGAAGATCATTGCTCCAACCGGAGTGTTTCAGCCTGACAAAGGCTCTTTGGGTGGCCTGTGATCTAAAGCAGATCAGATTAGAGGAGCTAGCGAGCCCTTCTGGCCTCAGACCAGGACAGCTCGGGGGCAGAGGGGGAGGACACGAGCCGCTCTCCTTGCTGACGTGCCTTTGCTTTCCGTCCTGGGGGTGGGTGAGAAAGCGATGGGCGCAGGATGGAGAGTCGCTGCACGTTTTGTGAGTCTGTGAGAGCCTGTACGGAGTGCGGATGCTGGGATGGGAGCTGAACCGGGGCTGGTGCTGCTGTCGCCGGGCAGAGGTGCTATGCAAGGCGCCCCGGGGGGCTGCACCCCCCTCACAGCTGCCCCCAGCACCCCACGCCCTTGCGTCTGCCCAGCGAGCTCTCTGCGCGATGCTGGCGATGCTGGCGTGGGGGGCAGCGAGCTGCAGACACAAATGCCTCGCCTTGAAATTCTCCCCTGGGTCTGGGCGAGGAGCCGGGAGAATTTCCCAGAGATGAAATGCGGGAGCAGCGTTCCCAGAACCAGGGGAGGGGCTGGCGAGGGAGGATTAGAGCCGTCTTGACAGTGCACCACTGCGACTGTCTCCCAGCCAGGCCCGTTACCTGCTGGGACACTCAATTTGCCATTGTTCCCGCGGTGTCACACTGTATTACCAGCATAATGCAGAATGTTTCCGCCGGCCAGCGTACCCACGGCACAGAGCACTGGCATTCCCCAGGAGCACCTCGTAGCAACGGGGCAATGTTCCCCTGTCCTGCCGTCACCCTCCAATCCCGCCAGCCCGGCTGGGAAATCCCTATTGATGGCGCTCCCCAGCCCCCCGCCACCGGATCAGAATGGCTAAAGGGCGTGTGAATGCTGCAGCAATTTGAAACGACTGCGGCGCTGGGATGGTATCGCTCGCCCTGCCTCACAGTAGGGGAGGAAGCTTAGCTCTTTCTCATCGGTATAAGCTTATTTTTCTCTCTCCCTCTCTCCTTTCCCTCCCCCTCCCTTTAAGCTGCTGAGTTTATATCAAGACGGCCCCTGATCCCACACACCCCTGTTTAGATGCAAATGACTGCAAGTGTCATGGCTGAGAAAAGCCATGGGTTATCTCGGTGCGGGTCTGCCTTTTCACAGCTCGTGTCAGGGCTTAGCCGAACACACAAGGACCCCCAAAGGCAGCCCGGGCCCAGCTGCCTTTCCTGCACCTGGCCCCGCTGCCGTCGCGCTCCTCCAGCCACGCACGGGGAGCCGCTGCCCTGGCCGGCGCGGGGAGGACCCCTCCGCTGACCTGGCGTCTTGCGGGAGAAGGAGAGCGAGCAAAAGGCAGCCGTGGCGTGAGGAGGCAGGGGAAGAGAGGCTCCCCCGCCGCTCACGACATGGGGAAGCGTGTGAGCTTGTTAAGGCTCCTGCCAAGCTCCCTCCTGCAGATCCAGTCCTGCCTGCGGCTCAGAGACCTCTTCTCCATCCTCCAGATGCCCGTGGGGCCTCCCTGTCTCACGTACGCACAACCAGCGCTTTTGGGCACCGCGCTTTGGCCAAAATCGTGGATGTTCTTACTAACCCAGAGAATGGCAGCTGCTTGCTCTCCCAGAGCAGCAGCAAGTCACCTGCCTGTTGGCTCAACCTTGGCTTTGGGGCAGGACTTGGCTGGAAGAGACATTGTCTTTTAATAAAAACTGACCTTATTTTAAAAAGAAAAGGGAGGGAGAAGAGAGAGGGGGGGAAAGCAGGTTTTTCTTCCCTCCTTGTCCCAGACTGCACACCTGCAGTATAAATCATCTTGGGGAATTTGCTTGTAAAAACATGATCTTACCCCACATTTTGGGATTGGGTTTTCTTTTTTTTTTTTTTCATCACCCAGGTTAGAAGAAAAAACATGCAAAAAAGAAAACTTGCAGGAAGATAATCGGTTATTCTAGGAAACCAGAACTTCACTAGCTATGGCTGCCACATGTTTAATGGCAAAAACCTCATGAGCCTGAATTTCGAGGGGACGTAGGAAGACATTGGGATGGCCGAGGCAGGGCCTTAGCCAGGGCTGGTGTTCAGCAGCTTCCAAATGGGCAGATTTCAGTCCCTCAGGGCTTTCACTGTGCTGTTTATTGCTTTGTTGTGAATTTGCAGCCATGTAAGAGACCAGGAAAGGAGAGGGTAGAGTCCTACGGTGAAGCTGGGCAGAGAAGTGAGATGGGGATGTGATGAGAGGCTGCGGGAAAACCTGGGGGCAGGAGCTCCCTGGGCTATTTCAGGAAGGGATGCCCTGTGCTCCCACCCTGACACCAGTGCTGGAAGCCTGGATGATGTGCTCAGAAGGAGCAACCAAGAACAGCTTGAACTGTGCCACAAGAGGGTCTGCACAGCCAAACCCATGCAAATGGCCCTCCCGTTTTCCCCCTCTACATTGCTCTTCAGACTAAGCTCTCCTTGAATGGAAGTGACTGTGATTAACATTTTTTGCAGCTCCTTTAAAATGAAATTATCCTCAATTTCTTTTCAGGCTGTCTTAGAAATGATTTTCCATGCTATTGTAGCAAGAACTACACTTTGAAGTTTTTTCCAAAATAGCTTCAATCTACCTAAGGGAGTAGATGAGATTAACCTAAATATTGCTCTTTGATACTTAGAGGTGATTTCATCCAGGTAGTTATCATAGCTTAAATACTGGCTATTTTGGGCTTAGTATTTAGTGCCTGTTGGCCTAATGCACAGTGCAAACTGCAGTAGTGACTGTCATCTTAGTTTGAGTCTTGCTATTAACTAATGATTCTTAGTTTGTGAGGTTACACCCCTCTGCATGTCCTGGAAGTCCTCAAGAAGCAATAGCTGCCACAAATGCTCAGGGCTCAGCCAGACGTGAAAAACACAGCTGGGATGATCGCAGATCTCAGTGCCAGGTTATGGGCTCAAAACACTCGATGTCTGGTTTTGCTGCATCGAAGGAAGATGGGACACCAGCCTGGGAGAAGGCGATGCGCTGAAGGCAACAGAAGTGCCCAGCAACCCTATCCCCAGCCCCTCGGCAGGCACAAGTAGTGTTGGTCCCCAGATTCATCACAGCTGGTGAGATCTGTCAGGGCAGGACAAAAGCCTGTTTCTTGCCAACGTTATCTCTTCATTCAGCTGAGCAAGCAGTGACTGGAAAGGTTGTGTTTCTCTCTGCAGCTACTCATGGTGCAAACTTAGGGAATCACAGAGGCTTTTCTAGTGTTATTACTCATGGCTGCGTAGCTGAGATGAGCTCCATCCTGTCTCTGCTCATTAATTTTCAAGACAGCAGTGAAAAGACATTAGCACATTTAAAAAATGTAAATAATAACCACAATCAAATGGGTTGGGCTTTGATGTATCATTATTTGCAGATAATACTGTTTATTTTTAACTGTTCTTCTTACAGGTTAGTGAGACACGAGAATAAATAAATTTTTCAAGCTAATTGCTTGGCAGTACTGTCTAGGAGACTATTGATGCGTCACGGTTTGATTGAGAAAGCTGTGTAACAAATGTGCTCAATAATTTTTCTCCATCTGTCAGAAGAGCTTCAGAGCTGTGGGTGATATTTTACTGTGTCAGCTTGGAGTGCATGGAAATGTTGAGGCATGTCCACACACGAAGTTTTGCTCTAGTCCCTGCAGCCGAAAGAATCTTAAAATATTCTTCATAAATTCAAAGTTCAGTTTGCTCATCATGGGGAGGATGGTTCAAACCCATTTTTAAGTGCTTTCAGGCTGACAGAAATGGTGGTGAGAGATTTTCAGTGCCTGAATGCTGTAACAGTTCTTTCATAACATGTTTAAAATTTTTATGATTGTTTTTAAGAAAATTAAACTTTCGGCTTTTGTAAGTGCTGAAGTTTAGGACACGCTCTTATTAGGCAGCAAGTTACAATGTGGCAAGCCTTGATGACAAGTTATTTGACAGTAAATATGGCAGTTACCCCAAAATACACCCTGGGAGAACAGAGGTGAATTGAATATCATGGTCCCTGTTAACACTCTAATATGACTTTACAATCCTGATTTCTGTGAAGAGGTGCACTTTAACCCAAATAAGTAATTTTCACTGAAACATACTGCTGATGTTTCAGGAAACTGTACTATTATTGGAAGGTTGAAGCTTGAAAAAAATAACTGTTTATATGCGGAATATTATAGCTTTGTTAGAAAGATTCACCGGGAGATCTGCACACTCCAGGAGACTATTGGGAAACAGCTTTGAACCCTGATTTCTCCCATTTCTTAAAGGCTGTGTGTACCATAAGATTCCCATTTCCAAAGCTCCACTGGAAAGAATAATTTCTTTTAACAAACAGACATCCCTGGACTGCAGAGACTCAGTGCGTGTCGGTACCAATGAAGCTAAGCTTCGGAAATGGTTTTGGTTACGTTTATGAAGCTGTGAGTCCGAGAGGTTATCTGCAGACATCCTTTGGGCTAAACCCAGCATCGAGTCAACAAAATCCATGGCATGGGATGGAGAGAAGGGGAATTTTTTATTCACCGTTTGGCTCAGTTTCATGGGAATGCTTTTTAATCTAGGGTCTTGGTTTGCTAACTGGACATCCGAGACGTGGGATAGGTCATCTGCCACCAAAGTCCTCCAGCACCCTCCTTACAGGCCATATTAGGCTGTAGGCTGGCAGTACAGGTGCCTGGGGGTCCAACATCTCACTTTTCTCAATGTAATGCCCAGGCTGTGATCTCACTGGGAACCCCAACTTTATCATGCTTCAACAACGTGCTTCCAGTGTGCCTGATCCGTGCCAGTGGGTCTAGGGAGGTGGCCTTTCAGGAGGAGGTGATGAAGAGGAGCAAGCAGGTGTGTTTGGAGAAAGGAGAGGGAAAAATATGTTTATTTTCACTCTTTTTGTTCCCAGCACTGACCATTTTGGGCTCATCTGTGAAAAGATATGTTGAAATCCCAACTAAGCCTGATCAGGATCCTGGATTTCAACCATGGCTTCCCACTGTCAGGGAAACTTCTGCCCACTGGCCTCCTGCGGTAGACAGTGCACAACTCAGGGCCTGCCCCCAAGAAACTTGACTGCAACCCCTCTCCTTGGCTTTTCCCCTGGGTCTGCTGAACCCTGTTTGGAAGTGCTGCATGCCCTGGACAGGGAGGATGGAACCCATGATTCCAGAACATGTGAGCATGCATGGGGCTAGACCTTCCCCTTTCTGTACTTTATCTTATGTGGCCCTACTGAGAGCTCCTGGGGTGGGAAACAGACCCTTCTCTCATTACCCCTTTTGATGTAACATGCCAAAAATTTGGAAAAAATAAATTGGAGAAATCAGGGATGAAAGCCAGGATGTCAGACTCTTTCCCCAGTGTGTTCCCAGTAGGATATTCATGGCGTGTCCAAAAGCCAAGTGCAGATGTGACAGCAACACCCACTCTGGCAAAACCCTTCCCTCACAACTCCCCGGCTTCGCTGTTTACCTTTGTCCAGGACTGGCCCGAAGATGGCCAGGCTGTCGTCGATGGTGGTGCAGTTCCAGCGGCGGCCCCGGAACTGGTGCTGGCACTCCTGGATGCCCAGCTTCACCCCCTCGGCCACGCTGGGCATGATCTCAATGTAGTTGCGGCAGAAGCGGAGCTGCTTGGGGACGAGGCCGGGTATGGAGCCGCAGAGGATGGGCTGGGACCCCAGGGAGCTGTACTGCTGACCTAGTGCAAGGGACCTGCAAGGGACAGAGGTCAGCGTGAGGGTTGGGAAACCAGCTGGCACCAATGGTCCTGCCCCCACCGCCATCCCCAGGGGGAATTTGATGAACCAATAGTACAGGGACACAAAGTAGTGAAAAACAGATTTCCTAAAAAACTGAGACTTCCTACTGAATAGCCCTGACGTGAAGAGGGCTTTCACACCTGAAGAGACCCTGGTCCTTTGTGGGCACAGAGGCAGGGGCTCAGCTGTCGACATGGAGGCACCTGGAGCCATTCAATGTTCTCCCAAGTATCTGAGACATCCCCATGGGGCTGGTGGATCTGACCAAGGACCTGCAAGGACCCACGTCCAGAAGAGCAACACCTGGAGGCTGGGGACCCTGGGGTGTCTCAGCTGTCAGGAGACACTGACATGACAGCTTCTGAAATCGGGCCAAGGTGAGAAGTGGCCCGTCCAATGCCAAGTTCATCAGCAGAGGGATCACCTTTACTGCAGAGGGGCTGCTCTGGGGTCAGCATGTCAATGCCATGTGTCCCAGGCTGTGTCGACACCCTCTGCAGGTGGTGCCAGGCAAGACGGACCTACCGTGGTTCCACCCTGGTGGACATCAAGCTCTAGCTGCAGCTGTGAGTTGGGCAGATGTGCTGGTACATGCTGAAGGTGCTGGAGGGCAGATCTGAGAACTTTTCCTACTGGTCCAAGGACTCAATAATTGACCAGCATTAAATATGTGGGTCAAATTGCTTATTTGGCCAGAAATTGTCACTGAAGGGTGAAGACACATATTTGCTTGATGAAGCACTGAGATACCTGCTATGACACACAAACAAGGATAGTCCTACAGCTACTGCCCTGCTTAGGATCCAGACCATCCTGCAGTGTCCCTCCAGAACATGGGGTCAAATCTGTGAATGAGCAGCTGGTTCTGGAATGGAGTGGATGTGATGAACTCAATTGCTTCCAATGCAGAAACCTCACAGTCCAGACACTAGCAGAGGCAAATATTCAAGAGCTTTGACTTAGTATGTCCGTATTTATCTTGTACTGGTGAATCCACAGTTGGACACTGTGATGAGGTCTCACCAGTGCTGAACTGGAGGGAAGGATCTCCTCTCTCTACCTGTAGGCAGCCTTTGGGGGTCCCTTCAAAGGGCAGCTCAACCTTCTGGGGTATCAACCACTTCTCCCAGTTTTGTTGTGTTTTTCATCATCCACCTGCCCACATCTGAAGCTCATGTGTGAGCTAATCAATCATTTTGTAGTCCTTAGTTAGTTCAGGTTGGAAGAGACCTCAGGAGGTCTTTAGTCCAACCTCCTGCTCAAAGCAGGGCCAGTTTCCAAGTTAGATTAGGTTTTGCAGGGCCTTGTCCTTCTACAATTTGGAAAACTTCAAAGACAGATGCTGCTGCTTTATGAGACCTGTGAGTCCTGAACTGCTCATCCAGCCTGGAGTCTCATCCTGGATGCTGAGATAACACCAGCTGGTTGAATTAGTTACACACTAATGATTTTAGGATGTAAAGGGAATCCCAGGGTACCTTCTCAGGAGAGATGTTTCTGCTGAAGACACTGAACAAGAAGACCCTGCCTGGGAAGCGCATGCCTCTAATCCCTGCCTCAGTGCTGTTTTCTGCCACAGCTCCCAGCTCAGCTGTCTCTCAGTCTCCTGTGCCTCTCTGTCCACCTACCCAGCAGTGGGACAGCTGCCGGAGACCTCAGGACCACAGCACTGCATGCATCTCCCACGCCCTGGGATGGGACACACAGATGAGGGGCAACCAGACATGGTTGGGAGACCACACAGCGCAATGGGCAGTGCGCTAGGACTGCTTCCCAGAGCTGCTTTGTGCTTCCAGCTCCCACCGAGTGCAATCTGATGGGCAGGAGCTCAGCACTGCTGGGAAGACTGGCCAGCTCCAAGCAACCGTTGTGGACAACTGTAATGGGGTCAACAGGCAGGAGAGCATGTTCACTTCTCCAGACACCCGCTCTCGCAGACAGACGCCAGTGTCAGGGAGGGTGGCGCACTGCGAGATGCTTTCTCCTGCCTGGGTTTGCACAGTGGTGGGACTGAAGTTCATGTTCAGTGTCTGAGTTTGCGAGGATGTGCCTGCAGCCGCAGTTTCTCACAGCAGTGGTGGCGGAGGGTTGGCCTGGTGTGCTGGCTGTGAGCTCCACACCATGTCATGAATGCAGGTTAAATCTTCTATAGCTCACTGGTGTAAAACCTGCTCATCAGGATGAGCAGTCTGATCCCTCAGAAAGCCTGCAGAAAGAAGCAGTGGCATTGAGGGAGTAAAAGCTGAGACTTCTCACCAAGTTCTGTGAAAGTCCTGGGAGGACCCATCCTCCCATTCAACCACGGACTTGGTCAAATCCCTTCTTTAAACTCCTGAGCTCTCTAGTGACAGACTTCCCTGCCTGGAAGGCCCGACTGGGGATGTGCAGTCAGCTTTGGTCCATCTGTTTCTGAGGTTGGAGTTGTGATCTGTTGTGTGAGAGAGGCCCCTGGAGAGGGTGGAGGCTGCTCCTGGTTGCACATGGTCATGCACCTAGCTGGTGAAGTCGCTTACCCACGTACAGGAATCCTTCTGCTTTTAATGACCTGTCCCAAGCTTTCCCACCTTTTATTTTTCTTCCTCTTTTGCAAGGTGTCCATCATTCTTAAGTGTCTGCTCTTAATTTTCACTGTTGATGATTACTGAGAGCATCTTCCCTCCAGTCATCACCTAATTTTCATTTTTGTTCTCATGTCAATGAACTTGTGATTTTCTCACTGCTGATTCTTCTTAGACAGATATAAAAAAATTTCATTCCTCTTGGCCGACCATCCCCATCTCCCCAGAAGTCCTGGGAAGACACATGGGTCAGGGCATTGTGGCTAAGATGCTGCAGCTCTGCTCTGAGCTCCTGGGTCCCATGGACTGACAATTTCTCTATATTGTGGCTGAGACATGAAGATGAAACAAAACCTACTTGAAACCCAGGTCTGAGATCCCAGGGCCATACCTTGGCACTGTGGCTGTAACACAGAAATCACAAGACCTCATGGGGAGGAAGTAAATACATTAGGAGAGGAAGTATCACAAGGTGAATTTGGGATAGACGGAGAACATGGACAGTTTTTAAAACAGAGACCACTTCTCCAAGGCTGGCAACTGCAGGAGTGACAGACCCCACACTTCCCTGTCTTTCTTTCAATGCTAGTGTCCTTCCTTGCTGTCCGAGGCTACATTTCTCTAGCTCCCATCACGTCAAAGGGAAGAAGCTGTTTCGTACCCCTGCTCCACTGCTCCCAGTTTTACCCACAGAAGGTGACAGATGCATTTTCCCAGCATCAACTCAAAACCCAGATGTTTTCATGCTCAAGGGCAAGAGCCATAAAAGCCAGACAGCTCTGCTTGGCTGGGAGAGACCCTTTCATTGCTGTGTGTACAAGTGTGAGCGGATAGATGTGCACATAAAGGTAGGCTTTTGTGTATGTGCGTGTGAGTGCAGTGCACAACACAAGGAGCATGAGTGCCTATGGCAAACGCATGGGAAATCCCTTTTCTCTTTCTCTGCTTAATCCCTTAAGTCTCTCAGGAGTCCCGACACTGTCTGTCAGGCCAGTGACTCCTTTTGTTCCCATCTGATAGTGCTAGGCATAGCAGAGCTGTGGATGCAGCAGTCTCGAGTTGACTCTCCGTGGCTCCTGTTGGTTTGGGATGAAGCCCTGGGAGTAAACGGTCTTGTGCAGATCCTCTTTCTGCAATACCAGTGGGTCCATCCTTGTATCCTTGAAGACTTATGTCTCCGCATTGCCTCAGTATGAAAGATACTGCCCACCCTCTCAACTTCATCCTTCCTACAGAGATGGCCAGCACTCTCATCTTCTGTTTGGGCCATTGGTTGGACATTGACATTGACAAGAAATTAGACCTAGTAGTATTTGAAAGTAGTGGGATTTGGCTAGATTAGAACAGCCATAACAAATGAAAAGGAGTTTTTAGGATGAATCCTAAGGAAGGTTTCCTGCCAGTGAGAGCAAAAGCTGCTGGACATTTCTTCTTTCCTCTCTGCGGGACAGTGGGACCTGCACTGTGGACGGGAGTGCACTGTGCACCACGGGCTGCCCATCCGAGCTGGGTTTTACCAGTCAGAGACAAACCTCAGTGAGCTGCTCCTCCTGTAGAGTGAGGGGATTGAAGTCTTGGCTGGGGTGATGCCCTGCTCGGCTGCTGTCTGGCAAGAAATCAGTTTCTTGGAGAGAGGTTTGTCCATCCTCTGCTGTGTGTGCAAGGCAAGGTGAGGGCTGACCCAAAGGCTTTGCTCACATGTGTTTCACGTTCCTGTTCCATGATATAAAAAAAGGAAAGCAAAGTGCCGAGAGTGGACCAGCTTCCTGGGAAACAATCCAGTGTGGTCACCCCTTTCTCTGTCTTCTGCAGCCACACAAACCCCTTGCCATCTTTAATGAGTCCTGGGAGCCCAGCTGGATGGAGAGGAACCTGTTTTTTTCCTGTCTCAGCCCTGGAAAACATTGACATTTGTGTGAGGAGTGTACTACAACCTCCAGTGAGCTCCAAAGTGGAGCAGCATCTGTGCTTGCTGTGGCTGCCTGAGGTCAGTGTTGCAGCTTTTTACTTGAAATGCGAGAGAAAATTTCTGGGATGTGCTGCTGAAGGAGGTTTTGTAGCTCCAAACTCAGCAGCTGAAAGAAGATGAATCTGAAGAGCAATTTTCCCACTCCATCGAGGACACCGCCAGCCCTGTGGCCAGCTGGGCAGGAAAGCTCTGGGCTGCAGACCCGTATGTCTCAAGGGTGCGACTTGAGCCATGGAGCTGGATGCTCCCTGCACTGCAACTCTTCCTTGCCTCTCCTCTGGGATCTTCCATGTAAATGTAGGTGTGTTATAGGGATCCTCTACCCCACTGTGCCATTTCCTTTCACAAAACTGTTAGATTCTATTTTCATCCCTGGAGCCCCCAATGCACCTGCAGATCCATGCAGGAATAGGTGGCTGTGAGCAC